ATCACAGGGCCGCTTCTGCGTTATTCATTACTGCAGCTTTTCTTCATGAGAGTTATTTTGCCAAGAGGGTCCAGCCACAGTTCTCTTAAGTAACACCACTTAACTAAGTGCCATCACATGGCCCGGTACTAGATTTTTTTAATGGTGGTCGCGGTTCACATTAATGTCAGTGATGTAATTCTAACGAGTAATATTTTCCTATACACAGCTGAAAAAAAAGCTATTAATTCAAGTCTCATTATTGGAACAGACTGGAATGAATGTTTCAGGTCTGGAAAAGGTTTCCAGGTCTAAAAGCTGTTGTTGTTGATCCACCGACTTTGCTTTTGCTTCCCTGCCAGAAAAGACTAAACAGGGGACAGCTTTTCAGCCTTGTGCGCGCCCTTCTCACAAACTCTGCTATAATGATGCAGTGGTTTGCAAGTACAGGCTCAGATTTCTTAATGCAATTCCATCCAATTATGTTACCATTAAAATCACCAAAATTATTCTGCTGAAGTGTGTTCAGGGGTAATATGCTATGTTATTATAGTTATTTTAAATCACAAAATAAGCAAATAGAAATAACACCGCTGCCGAAATTCATCAGAAGATTATTCGCAAGGAATATTTCATAGGAATGCAATAATGGATGGTTTAGTGGATAAGATGCTCCAGATACATGAATGACCCAAATTCAGTGACCACATTACATTAATGATTATAGACTAACTGATGGAAGGATTTGGAGTCCTTTATGTAAGTATTTTTGGCTTTAAGTGTTCCAACCCTACAAAGTCTGTGGATAAAACTGTGGCTAAAAATGCTGCAGATACATACACATGCAAATACAGCCCACACACGCCCCGTTCCTGTCAATCCTGTGGTTTCGAGTCCAGTGGGGTCAGTCTTACTTCTGTATTTAGATACTGCTCATTACAGTGAGAGAACACAGCAACCACATAAGGACTAACTAGCAGCATGAGCACATGGAATGTGTATTGTTTTTAGGAAAAGAGGAACTGTGGAAAGCTTCATTATAACAACACTCACCTTTTGCTTCCACTCCCTGCCATAGAGCCTCAAAGCCATATATGCACGGCTTGATTTAGACTTCTAGAAAAAATAAATTATGATGGGAATTCCTAACAGTCAGTAATTTTGTAATTTTAGACAGAGGGCGTCGAAGTCACTTCTCCTTGAAATGTTCAAACACATCCAGTCTCCTACGCAGCAGCCACCGGCAACTGTGGCCAACGTAAGCCACAGACAGAGAGCATCTGTCTTTACGAGAGGCAGCGAAAGAGTGCCCAGAAAATGTGCTTACAAATCATTGACCATCTTCAAAGTTCGAGCTTAACTTCCCCAACATGTGTTATAAACGGAACACTGGGACATCAATCATGCAGACCTCTTTAACAATTATCCATGTAAAAAAAGTCTCTGACAGCTAAATATCAGCTTTACAGCCAGCGTAACACCTGCAAACACCCGCTACACTGCCTTTATGAGTATTTTGCAAATAAAGACATTTGTGAGTGTGTTGACATGGATCTATGAAAATTACAATGTTTGAATTCATGGTTTTACCTGTTACCTAATGGTAATGGTGTGCTGCAGCTTAATGCCCCTTATGATTTAATTTCTTCCTTTTTCTTAACTGTACTAGCCTATAAGATGTTATCTGTGTAATTTGCCAAATAAACACGAGCCTAATCCAATTTCAGACAAACGTTAATAATAGAGGCAATTTAGATGAAAATTAGTCTTGATGAATTACCTAACTACTTGGGGGATATGTTACTCATCCCGATGTAACAAAGAGTCCATTGAGCTGGTTGAGCTTCACCTGTGTTATGTCTGCTAGTGACTCATTCAAAGACACACATGGCCCTGGCAATGTCACTGACAGGAGCCTGGACCTAGAGAGAAAAACAGAAAACAAAAAAGCTTTGTAATCAAGCAGGAAAATGTTCCAGAGTGAAGAAATTCTGTAGTCCTAAATACTGTATATTTTAGAGTTAAATAGTTTTTAGATTTCCACCAACAAATACGACCAAAATCTACTTTAAAACTTGAAAATGAATAAAACCGGCCACAGGAAACGTTGCATATTCTATTCTCAAAGTTGAAACTGAGCTCCCTACGCTGTCACCACACAAGCTACACGTTAACCTTGTATTTATTTTCATCTAAAGCTGATGAAGACTTCCTTCCTTCTTTGCAGCCACAACAGTTAGAGTCCTGGCATGTGTCAGCAGCCACCACCCTCTAAGCCACAGCAGCTGCTTTTTTTCTACAACTGTTTGGCTCAGCTTACAGTAAAATGCAGTAAAGTTGCAAATCAGATGCAAAGTGACGTACAACTCCTGTGCATTTCCTCTAAGGAATATTTATCTCGCAGAAGGGACTCTCTTCCTCACACATATACAGCAAAGTTACAAAAGGATCTGCCAGCTCAGTGCTTTTTTGTTCCAAATAATATTTCAACAGTGACGCAGATAGGAAAAGGGCTTATATGGCACTATTTATCTACTTTCAAAATCTCCAGAGGTTTTTAAGATGATTTTACTTTAACAATGAGGCTGATCTCTTGCTCTGTGTCTGTTTTTTGTTTTTACTGTGTCAATGTTACGCATTCAGAAAGGAAAGGTGGCAGAGGAAAAAGGCCTATTGATCTGGAGCAGTCTTATCCAGATTTTAAAACGGAAAATACAGCTAAGTTATCTTGAGAATAATAATGAGTGGCACCGAGGAATATTCTTATGTAACCAGTGATCTGAGGCTTCACATTTACTCCTGAAGGTTTGAACTTGATAAATGGTAAATATGCTGTTATATTTGATATTTTGACTGAGGGTGTATGTTTTGTCGAAATAAAAGTAAAAAATTTTTAGCTTAGGTTTGGACTTAGCAAAAATAAAATACTGTGATTCATATAAAAAACATTTGTGGAGCTGAGATAAGAAATACATGGGGATTTTATAAATATCTCTATCTCCGAGATAACTACAAGAACCGAAATGAGTGGGAGATAATGAATTGAAGGTCAAGTAGGAGTGAAACAGGGAGTGAAAGAACTCATCATCTGTGAGTGAAAGGGGAAAGAAAAGTCAGGACAAAACTTCAGACAGGTTTTTTCATGACGCGTGTAACTACAAAGAAATTCTCCACAGAACATGTGTGTGTGAAATCAGCAACAGTTTGTCAGACTGGTATGCACATAGCATACATTTTTATTCCTGAAACAGAGAACTTTGAACATCTAAAGATATACATGTCATACAGACTGTGATGAACTGTCTCAGAAAGACATGTTCCCTAATTTGAAACGGCAGCAGTGTCCGCTGTGTCAAACAACCTAGCTGTCTGACTAAAAATAACTTCACAGAATATGTAGAACAGTTCCAATAAATCTGAAGTAATTTTAGAAATATTTCTATATTTAACTTTTTCTTTGCGTCTGATGGTCATTAAGAAAGAGGAATTATATCATGAACACAGCCACTAATTACGATTTATAATAAGAGTTCACACATGACCACTTAAGTGTCTCAATATAATTTCTTTTTTCACGTCTCAACTTGTTCCACAATGAAAATATGGTAACAATGTATATTTTTATTTATATTCATTAATAAACAGGGCTGAAAAGTATGATCATTTCAGATTAATCAGATGATTATTTATTTGATTAATCAATTACAGGAGCAGTTTGACATTTCTGTGAGAACACTTATCACCTTTGTGCCAAGAGTTAGATGAAAAGACGGTCATAACTCTGTCTGAAAGGCAAAGATGAAGCTTCAGCAAGCAGTTACCATCTTCCAGGAATCATAACTTGGTCCTGGAGTCTCTGCTAGTTGCCTAAAAATTGGTCAGAGCCAAGAAATAGTGTGGCACATAACCACCTGTACAACAAATAAATATAGTTTTAACACTTTGGTTTCTTTTAGGATCAAAGAAACAACATAATGTGTTGATTAGTACATTTTAGAAGTGAATGCTAAGCTAACAATCTGCTAGCTGTAGCTTAAAGGTCCAGTGTGTAACATTTAGGAGGATATATTGGTGGAAATGTAAATGTGTCCATTGCCTGTAAATAAAATAAAATTACCTGAAAATAAGAATCATTCTGTTTTTGTTACCTTAGAATAAACCATTTATACCTACAGACGGGGCACCTTCCATGGAGTCCGCCATGTTTCTATGGTAGGCCAGAACCAAACACTGGCTCTAGATAGGGGTGCTTATGTTCTTTGCCTGTTTTGCAGCATAATATCTCCTTTGTGTTTGGAAGGGGAGGGTGAAGCGAGGGAGTTATAATCTGAAACTACACTGTTAGATGCCACTAAATCCTACACAGTGGACCTTTAATATTTAGTGTACAGGCATCAGAGTGCAATTAATATTCCCATCTAACTCTTAGAAAAGAAAGTGAATAAATGCAAGATACTGAACGTTTTATTCTTTAATTGTTTAGTCCATAAAATGTCAGAAAATAGTAAAAAAAAAAACAGCTGATGTCCCAAGATGATGTCTTCGGATATCTTGTTCTGTCTGACCGAGACCAACAGTCCAAAACCAAAAGATATTTAGATTACTAAGTCAGAAAAACATCAGATCTTTATAATGGAAAATGAGGTAATGCTTGGTATTTTTGCTTGATAAACGACTCAAATGATTTATTGATTATCAAAACTGTTATTGTTAATCTTTATCTCACACACTTTCCACTTTTCATAACAACACAAATTGGCAGCAGATAAAAGGTTATTGAACAGTTGATGCTCTCTACTAGAACATTACCGAGATAAAACATTTAGACATATAATTCACAGAATAAAAACATCTATGAATTACGTATATTAACAAAAAAAACACATTAGCCTTCAATAGTGCTTTCAGTTACTCTACATAACTACATCTGTTGTGTACCCACTTCCTTCATGATCTGCTTTGTGAGTCTCAACAACACTTTTGCTGGCCCTCTTCCTCATTTCATTACAGGAAGTGAGTTTGGTGCATGATGCAGTGTCTTCGCCACAGCCTGTGACAGGTCATTGCTGTAAACTCTTGTGAACATGGTACTTCTCTAGTGCCGGACTCTGCTGCTGCCACGATGTCTTGTTTGGACCCTCATCTCTCTCAGCACAGTTGATGCCATCACAGCAGGCGAGCTACAGCTCCTACAGGTAGGTGTCCAGTCTCATAGTTTTTCTGTTGAAGGAACTGTTATTGCTTCATACCGGTCAACTGAACACTGTGATGTAACTCAAAAAATATGCGACACGCAGGCAGGATGTGATGAAATGAACATATTTTAGATTCATTGTAATGTAATTATATAAAATGACTTTACATTTGGGAAAATGATTTTACTACACATGAATTTAATATTGTTAATCAATGTTAGTGAGTACACAGGACTTGATACTGCAATGGAAAATTGAGTCCGATAGCATCTAGCCTCAGCTTCCCCATTCTGCAATGAGTCTGCCAGTTGATATTGTTCAATGGTCAGCTTATAGGAAGTTACAAACTTCATGGTGCAGCAGCAGAGAGAAGTGTAGTGGTATAAAAACTTACAGATAAGTAGACAAGTGGAAAATTAGGTCTGAGTTGAGGAGTACATTCACAGTGTATCTGTCTCCCTGCCCCGACTACAGGCTGGAGGATGGGGAATATGATGCGAGGTGTGAGCGCCACCGACAACGTCAAAAAGAACAATTATGACAGCTCTGTAAAGGGTAAGATTTTTTCAAATTACATAATTTGTTTCGTAACCAATTTTTGGAGAGTGCATAGTCAAAGCTTTCTCCAATGCTGTCAGAAACAGCAGTTAGATACTTTGTTCATTAAAAAGTGTGATATTTCCACTGAGAATATTTTTGCACTATTCCTTCACACAGCACTGAAGCACACTGACGCCTTGGTTGCCAGAAATGTTTGTATGTTACAATATGCACAGCGATGTTAACAGTCTGCTGGTAGCAGATATGTCATGATAAGCTGCACTCAAAAATAACTAAATTAATTTCCGAGGTTTGGTCTTAGACATCTTTGGACTTTTCCAAATCAGGATGTCTGTGTATCAGCATATGGCTGTGTTTGTAAATGCTGTAAATATTTGTTCTTGGCAGGTTTGGAGGACGACATGGTGGTGGTGCTCCAGGACTACCCGTCTGCTGAAATCAGCGAGCCCATCTACAGGATGGGGGAGAAGCTCAGACTCATTGCTCAGTACGATCATGTTTTTGCACTCTTGATTAAAAACAGTCCACTTTTCCAATCTGTACACACATTTGGTAGACAGAAGATCTTAAATAACTTTGAGGAAATAAAATCTAACAAAAAAAGAAAGGGCAGCGTGTAACTTGACACTTGAAGCTGGCAGCATAGAGAAGTGCTCACACAAAAAGGTCAGTGGTTGATTCCTCTTTGCTTGTTTGTGTTGGTCAGGGAGGCTTACTGGTGGAGAGTTCGCTGTGTCCAAACAGGAAAGGAGAACTACATACCAAACAGCCATGTGGCAAAAGTGTACCATGGGTAAGCAAAATTATACTGACGCTATCCTCTAGTATTGGCCTACTTTGAACTTAAATTGACAACAGCAAAAAAAAATCACATGCATCTTTTCCCACTACTTTATCTAAGTTGTCTCTTTGTTGTAAGGGAGTTAACGGGAGGTGTTGGTAACACAAGACGCTAATTATGTGTTAGATGTTACAGCTGTATATGTTAATTGCAAGGTCTTATATCTTTAATATGAATGAGACTTCACTGCTAAGTGTTTATATATGTTTTGTTGTGTCAGTTGGCTGTTTGAAGGGGTGGAGAGGCAGAAGGCTGAGGAGCTGCTCTGTCTACCTGGAAACAGAGTGGGCTCCTTCCTGGTGCGGGAGAGCACCAGAGAGAGGGGTGAGTACTTTTGCTTACAGGATAATAGATAGAAAATCAGATCTGATAGTTTGGTTCAACTGTGGATTCCTGTAAAGATTACAGTTTAGGAAATGAAATTCTTGTCAACAAGTAAGCACGTACTGAGATTAGATCACTGTGATGTTAAGATGAGAGCAGGGTACAAGACAGGCTGTACAACTGGATAAGATTTAGTCAGATCCAAAGCATGAAGAGGGATCTGTCTGAAAAGACAAAATGCGTAAAAGTAGTCTTAAAGACCCAACAACAACAAAACAAGCCAAAAGATTATTTTGAAAAATAAATATATTGCTGATTTCCTGGAGTCACCGCTCCAAGCCAGAGAATAATCTGGCACATGCTCCTCGGAAAACCTTGTTAAACTTCAGGGGAGCCGCTGTTGTTGTTGTTTTCCCCTTTGTACTGAGCCAGGCTAGCTGTTTCTCCCTGTTTCCAGTCTTTATGCTAAACTAAGCTAAGCTCAGAAGCTCTCCTGACAGTAGCTTTACATTTAACGGACAGATACGATCTGCTCATCTAACTGTCAGTAAGAAAGCGAATAAGCATATTGTCCAAAAGTATTTCTTTAAAGAAATGTATGGGGAAATTACTTGTGAGTGGATTCTCCCCTAACAGATTATGTGTGGCCATATTTCAATCTGGAACTGCTCTTTACTCATGATACAAAAATGCACAGTGACTAAACATGTGAGGAGGAGGTGGAAGTTACAGTACAGAACTCACATTCCCTTTACTTCTGCTTTCACATTGTCACAACAAATTCAGTATGAGCGGATCAATAGTTATAGGTTTTTGCTCTTGTGTTCTGAAAAAGTACAATGACCTCATACCATTATGAGCTTGTTTTCTAGAGCATATTGGTGTTGTGATTGAAAACTTATTGTTAAGTGCGTGTGGTGTGTGTCGTACCCTTAGGTCTGTATTCGCTGTCGGTGAAGCACAGGATCGTAAAGCACTATCGCATCTTCAGACTGGAAAACAGCTGGTACTACATCTCCCCTCGCCTCACTTTCCAGTGCCTCGAGGATATGATCAACCACTACTCTGGTGAGTAGATGCACAAACAGATACATAACTAAACAGAAACACATAGATCTAAAAACAAACTGAACGGAAACTAACATCACGACATGTGGGGCCATACAGACGCACACAAATAGGCAATCACACACAGTTAAGCACTGAAAATAATTTATCATGTTCTTATTATAGAACCATTTCTTATCAGTGGTTGACTCTCTATATATTTCCTGCTTTGACAGAACATTTCTGAAACAAAACAGGAAACGAGATACAATATACATTCTTGATAATGACCACTGGTGCGTACACGGTGAGAAAAGAGTTAGTGTTATTTGTTATAATAGTTAAGTTACTTTGCCACCTTCAGAAGTCTGGCATGTGTGTTTGCCTGAGCAATAGAGTGGGAAAGTGGCTAATGTAAATTATGCAACATTGCCTTGTTCTGTGTTTATTTGTAACCTTGTGAGCAGTATTTTACTTCCCCTATTCTTGCCTTTTCAGACTTTGCAGATGGCCTATGCTGTGCTTTAACCTCCCCCTGTCTGTCGGGCACAACCCCGCCACCAGATGCAACCCCAGAAGCTCCTCCTGTAGTCATGAGACGCAACTTTGACTGGAAGAAACTAGACAGGTACAACAGAGGCTTGATTATCATTCACCAGCTTTGTCAGCATGAGAGTGCATAATGATTCTGGCACACGGTAACTGATCCCTTGTCTTGTACTGTACTGTATGTCCAAGTAGCAAAGATCAATTGTAAGAATATAGTTTTTTCATCAATTAATCTGTTGATTGGATTTTCAATTATTTAATTAATTGTTTTGTGTATAAAATGCTGGAATATAGTAAAAATTGTCCATTATAATTTCCCGGAGCCCATCATGAATTATTCAAATTTCGCTTTTTATCTTACCTTCAGTACAAATGATAATGAAATCTTCCAACTAGAACAAAAAACATTTTGCTCTTGAAAAGACAATTGAGCACTAATCAGATAATAATCTAATAAAAAATTGCAATTGCAATACTAAAATGCTCTGTTCTCCTTTATTTTTTTATCTCCTCCCTGAACAGGAGACAGCTGGTCAGCACAGAGAGCTGCAATGACAACATGGTGAGCTACGGCGTGAGGAACAGCATCTCAGCCTACCTGTCCTTTTCTGGGAATCAAAACTCCGCACAGATGAGAGCGGAGAGCAGGAAGAAAAAGAGTAAATCTGTTTATACAGTCCCTGAAAACCACCTCGCAAACATTGACTATGCTGATGACTTCTAGAGAGAGCAGTGGGGTCCAAAAGACTGGAATACCTTCAAGTGGAGGGCAGTAGAGGGCATCCTTCTCTAAAATCCGCCACATCTCTAATGTCGGCAGTGGGCTGCACTGAGCCGACATTTGTGTTAAGCATCCCAAACATCGAAGTGTGTTATAGTTTCTAATGTGAGCACTTTGAAGTACTTTAACAATTATGCAAATTGCATGAACACTTACAAGTTGGATCAGCTGATGAGGACTATATTGAGTTCAACTGGATGATGTGCAATTGAACTGTGATGTGTGTTCTGCACGGAAAAACAAACAACCTGGCATTAAGATGGTAAAGAAGAGACTTGAATGCTGTGGGTACTGTTGGGTAATATTAATGTATATAAAGGCACTCATGCCTTTCAAACTATTTCCCTGTGATCAAAATAAATGTTATAAAATATATTTTGACACCAACTTTGAATTTAACTTTTTTATGGCCACTTTTATTTTACCTTATTAAGTTGATAAATGTTAGCAGAGAATGGGTTATATACAAATCCACCACATACAGAGCAACATTAGCCATAATTTGAAGTTGCGCTCTGTTTGTGGTCTCCACCAACTCGTTACGGAAATATCTGGCTCTTCAGCTGTTAAATGCTAGTGCTTGAAGGTAGTGTACAGGGGGATTTTAGAGCATTTTTAAAAATAAAAGACAGCTTCCCACAGTGGCTGGACATTGTGGGAGTGAACAAAAATAGTTGGGGACGAGAAAACCAGAACAATGAATTAAAAGAAGCTAAAATGGGAACAGGACCTTATGTTAGGTCTCCGTGGGTTTCTCACTATGAATGACCCCTTTCACATTACAGGTAGTCATTTGATCCATTCCTTATACAGAAAAATTGATCAGAGCAGCTTAAAAGTCTTCAGTATTTGGTCCAGAGGAAGTGAATATCATCAATCATGAGAAAACTTCACTGATGGGTTCACAAAGAGGAACAACCGCTTGTAGAAACATACCACTTTTACAATTCCGTGCACCGTGTTTAATGCAGTTATACATATCTACTACATCTACATAAAGTACTGAAGAATCCATTAGCATTTGTGCGTGATGGTTGTAATTTCCATTGACACGCTTTGGCAAATAAAGCACAGATCTCTAAATCTGATGCAATGATGTATGACTGTTCTCTCTGTCTGTGTAATTTGTCATCTTGCACTGTGGTATGTCTGTTATGTTAGGCATTTGGAAACCTTTTTGTGTTTTTAGGGCTGAGTCCAGAGTTAAAAGCTACAGTGACTAAAATGGGCACAAGTTCTGAGAGTTCCTTAATTCAAATTTCCTTGCAAACATCCGGCCAAACTGTTGATATTTGTTGAACTTCCTCTGCTGAGCTGTGGCTATTCTTGCCAGTGTGACGGTCGCCCTAATTTCACATGTTTATTATATGACAGACTGATGGAAAAATTGCTATTCAATAAGATGATGAATAACAGGGTATCTTTAATAAAGTTATGCAGTAAACATTTATCACCACTACAGAATTATTTGTGCCAGAAAAACCTAAAACCAACCCCGCCCCAACTAACATTTCTTATATTTGTGCTTGAGCAACTTCCTCTTAGACTTTGACCTACACATTTTTAACCACTAACCCCAAAGAGCAGACTGTATGTGAAAACATAAACTTGGGTCTATATAAAGAGAGCAGCATGTGTCGTTATCTATAGCTTTCTGCTCGTTGTTGGTGAATCTGAGTCAGAAACTAAAGTACGATATAAATGTCCAAGAACCTGAGCAGAAGCAGAATGGAGTCAATTAGTCAGTGAGGAGGAATGTCCAAGTTAACTACATATTAGGCCGTATTGTTGAAATGGAGGAGGTCTCTTTAAAACAGCGGTTTCCAACATGGGCGTCGGGACCCACACAAGCGGTTGCAAGATGAACCTAAGGGCAAAAAAACAATATTAATTTTTAAAACGTTTCTATAATCTTGGCTTTTTTGTGGAAATACTGGACAGCTTCAACTCTTCGGGCCTCGTAAATTATTCAAATGAAACAGTCTAAGAATGGAAAATCACTCTGCTTACGCCTCAGAGACAAACACCCTGTAGCAACGGCTGTAAAGTAAAAGCTTGCTTTGTATTAACTGGTTTAAACAACGTGACATTTTCATCACCACCAGTTACCATCAGTGGATGTGAAACCTAATGGTTGCTGTGTTGTACAGAAAATGTGCAGAACACATATGATGTCCAAGAGCAGTTTTAGGAAGTTGATGTACATCCCCAAAGGCAGCAACTCTGCCAATCTAATTTATTAGTTTTCATTAAATTCATGAGCCAACTGTGTGTGACCAGTTAAGACGAGGTCAGCGCTTTCTTCTCAGTTAAAAAGCAGGATCAAATACTTGTGTTTCCTGGTTTTAAAGTCTTGTAAAATACCTTCAAGTAACCAGTTGGGAAAGAAGTCAAGCAATGTGTGTGTGTGTGTGTGTGTGTGTGTGTGTGTGTTGGAACAATCAGTGATGCAGACACACACACATCTGGTAGCCTAGTGCTGCACCATGCAGAGACTGCTGTCCAGTCAGCATTACTCACTAACAGTCTGCCTCCCTAGACCATGTGGAACCAGTCTAGAAAAGACTGGGGACAAAACCAGTGGAAGATTGTGCTTTAAGAGAATTTGCTTTTGATTAATGACAATTGTCTGTAATTCTTCAGTTTTAGTCAGATGTGCATTACAACTGGGGCTTGCTTCACCCCAGCTCTGAGACAGAATGTAATGCAAATTTATGGAAACCATGTTTCATCAAATACAGAAGCGTATTGCATTGGTTTTTCAGAGTTATTTTTTTCAGATTTTCTGAATAATTAATTCATAAATAATAACTTTTTCTGAGTTTAGAGAGCATTTGAAACAATAGACGCATTCATTCCTTTATTGAGAGCTCGATTTAACGGAAACAAACATAGCCGGCTTGTTTAGTTCAATCAAGTTTTACTTTGATCTGGGTTTAAGACACTAGGAGCTGTTGTTCAGAAGGAAAGCCTATTCAGATCTGCTAGACATAGCAAAATATACATAGCAAAATTGACCTGGTACAGTAGATAGTTGAAGAGGGGCATGTATGTGAGGGCAGCAGTCACCATAGGTCCATGGGAGTCACTTGCAGGTTGGAGGTTCTCGCGGGTGTTTGAAGTATCTCGATAATTCAGAAAAAAAATTACTCAAAAACTAACCAAAAAATAAATTACTCAGAAAAAACAGAGTATTATTTTTTTTTCAAGTGAATGCAATACGCTCTGACCAATCGGTTCATCCATTCACATCAGTGAACATTCAACAAAAAAACACTCTTCCCCGAAGTCATGCAAGCATTTACTGTAATACCAATGCAGATAAGAAAGACAATACTCCGCCACCCTGCCAATCATCACACATCTCTGTGTGTACATGGTGAAAAAAAACGGCCCTCAACGGGATGAAGAGCGGAAGAATTATAGCTCAAACTTAAAAAAAAAACACACCAGCATAGCTCATGAAAACCCCCGGGTTTAATATGACTTTATGATGAGGGGATTCTAAGTTGAGTCCCTTGTTCTCCATCTGAATTTCTGTTTGATGTTACAGTGGATGTAAGCACCAAGGAAAACACTCGAACAATGCACTCTGGCCTTAGATCCCCCCGAACGAAAACAAAAAAGGAAGGAGAGTTGAGGCCTGTCCTTGTCTCTGTCTCTAGGAATGGCATCAAGTCATGGAGAAAGAAAAAGGGGGATAAGTGAAGGAAATTAAGAGATGGAGAGAGATTCCTCTTTCTCCAGCCTGTTTTCTGTTAATCAGGTTCTTCTAATCTCGCCACATCCTCCCTTCTACCCCGGGGCCCAGCTGTCCAAACCTCTGACTTCACCATTTCTGCACTGTATGTTCACTGGTGAGCCACAAAAAATCCAGATAAATGTTTGCTTTGCTCAATCAAAAACGCACTCCCTTGTTAATTAAAACTGCTGTTTTCTCTCTCCATACCGCTGCCTTCATCCTATGAAACTGACGGATTCTTGAAGTGGAGAAAGTCTTGAAGATTATACTGAAGTGCAGCTTTTTTGTAGGGGTTTTAAAATATGAGTTTACATTTGTTTTTCTCTTTGTGGAATATTATATATAGGTTGGGTGTTCATTTCCTGACAAAAAACCCTTACACCACGGGCTGTTATTTTCAGCTTAATTTGGTGCAAAATGTGATGTTTCACTCTTTTAACTCTGACCACTTCCTCCAGGTGTCAAATAGAACTTAGTCTAGATTTGTATCTCGCTCTACCACCAAGATGGACGCAGGCTGCAGATTGAAAGATAATAATGACATTTTACTGAGAAACAGACAGACTCTGCAGTGCAAAAAGTACAGCAATGGCAAAATGACCTTGTCAAAATCAATAAATTAAGTAAAGCAAAGTGAGACTGCTTTTGACAATTTTCACCAAACCTGTGAAATAACATCCTCCAAAGAGCACTGACAACAGCACCGTGTTCGCTACAGAAACAGCACATGAGAACATGTCCTTTAGTGTTGAACCAAGGGCCTTGGCCAACACACACAACTTTATCCAAGGCTGTCCAGAGAGCTACGGGAAAATAAACAAAAACCGAACTCTGCAAAAAAAAAAAAAGCTCTAAAAGTCCACATCTTTGCCAGGGAATGGAGTGTTCTTATGTGACCTGCCAGGAATCTGTGCTCTCATTCCTTAAGCCATTTCTCATATATAATACTGCAGGATGAGGCAATGACGTTCACAGTTCAAAGGAAAAACAGGAACAGAAAGCATAGTGACAGTCCCTACGAAACATCGTACAGGCAGCATGAGTAGCGCTGTTCTTCGTGTGCTTTTCGATGACATGTTACTCTGGAGTGGACAGCTTTGTACAATGACCATTGTAGTTTCTGCATAAGGAAACTTTTACATTGCTCGTAACAGCTGCTTTATAAGCTGGAGTGATCTTGTTAATAGTTAGGCGTGCCCGGCACAATAAAGTCGAACAATACGGGAACATTTCAACACCTTAATGAAATGCTGAAAATCCTGCTTGAATGAGCAAAACCTGGCAGGATATTTTCAAAGAAAGCAGCCAGTTGGGTCTGGAGAGAGACAGTCAAGGAGTGGCATAAATGAGTTTTTCTGGGAAGCAGTTGAAGGATAGACCTGGCTCCACTGTCATTCAACCGCCAGCTGAGTTAGAGCTCAGAGCATCCTGCCTGCTGCTGCGCTACAAGCAAACAGGAGAGGTGGAGAGTTCTTCCTGGAGAAAGGTTCCCTTTCCATGAGGAGGTTTTGAAGCAGTTTGCCACGTGGCTTCCTACAAATAATTAAGACAAGCAGTGGTGCAGGCTCTTTCTAATTAGAAATGCAATTGTTGGTAAACCTAAATAAGCCCAGTTGGTGACTTAATATATATGCATATATCCCTTTCAGTGTCTCATAAAAAAAGGCTTGTTAAATTTTTTACTGCTGTTGCTAGAGCAAAAGCATGTGGCAAGAATCGAAAGCTGAAACCTCTTAATACCTGTAAATTATTCCTTGTGTGTGCGTGGATTCGGCGTCTTACCTGGCAGTGTGCATGTTCTTTCCATTGCCCTCAGCCCCCTATTCAACCCCATTTGTCTCTGGAGAATGACAAGTAGGATGACAGCTGTGAACAAATTAGCATCAGGAATGAGTCTGAAGCACTATGTAGTCAGTGAAATGAAAGAAAAAAGGAGGACGATGAAGATGGATGGACACCAGGTCAAACTGTGAGCAAAAGATTAATGTGTCACAGATGAAACAGAAAGTACCATGTGATTGATGTAACCAGGTCTGCTAGACAGTTATTGGAACGTTCATTTTTAAACCAACTGAATATTAAAATGACTGAAGAACACTTGCACAAACACTGTCCTATAAAAAAAACAGATTGCCTTTCACCAAGTAATATGTGTCCCAAATTGACAGTCAGCAGTCGAAACAAACCTGTTCAGACCACTTCCTCTTGTTTTCACACTTCAGAGGTCGAAAGTGAACTGACATCATAGTTGGGTGAAAACTTTGCATCTGTCAAATAATAACCTTTACGGGAACCAACAGGGACTTATTTGGCCAGCATGCATTTTTGTTGTAATAATGTCTCACA